TTTTTTTTTTACAAATAACTACTGTACTGGAGAGACTGTTTAGCCAATCAGAATGCAGAACACAATGCAAATCCGTGAAGCAGCGAGACCGTGAAAGGTGAACCGCGTTATAGTGAGGGTTCACTGTATATACACTGTATACATAAAACATCTAGCTCACTCTACTCTGCACTTGGGTGATTTCACGTCAATCTCCAGACCACCCCGAGAGTTGAGGATCCTGCACAGTATCTTAGCTGTTCCTAGGACTGTGCTCTTCTGGACAGAGGTCTCTGAGATTTTTCTTAGGATATATTGGAGCCACTCTTTCAGTTTAGGGGTCACTGCACCAAGAACTCCAGTAACAACTGGGATTATTAATGCCTTGACTCCACAACTTTTGAATTTCCTCTTTCCTCTTTCAGCCCTTGGTATTTCTCCAGGTTTTCTCTTTTCGTTCCATGTATGCTTTGCTTGCCTGGATTTTACACCTTGCTATTATGTGTTGGACTGTCTCGGGCATCTCCGAACAGCCTGCATCTTGGGTCTTGTCTCGTATGGTAGAACCCGGCCTCTATTGCTCATGTGCTGAGGGCCTGTTTTTGTGCTACCATGATTAATGCCTCTGTGCCGTCATTCAGTCCAGCTCTCTCTAGCCACTGGTAGGATTTGTTGATATCAACCACTTCCTCAATCTGCCAATGGTACATGCCAGATGGTGCATGCTGGTTAGGGGCTCATTTTTCCATCATAGCGCCTCTTGTTCTGTTTCTTCCATTATTTTTTTTTTTGCTGTTACCAGAGACATTCACTCCTTAGTTCTTCATTGGATGCTTTCCTCCTGATGTTATCCAGGGTCTGAGTTGTTTCTTCCTGTATAGTAGCACAGATGCTGAGTAGTCATCTGCCTTTCCCTTTTCGCTTAGCGTATAGTCAAGTTACTGGAAATGGGGTGAAACCCTCCATGCATTGTGAGGAGCTTTCGAGTCTCTATATCAGTGGTTTCTAACTCCTCCTTTGGCCAGGCTATTATACCAGCTGGTTATCTGATGATTGACATTACCTTTGTGTTGATGGCTTGGACTTTGTTCTTGCAGTTTGAGAGCTTTGCAGTTGCTGGAACAAATCTTGGCCTGGTGCCTTAACATGTTCTTTTCATGCATACATGGGTTTCCTCCCACATTTCAAAACATACACGTTAGGCTAAGTGGTAACTCTAAATTGGCCCTAGTGAGATTGTGAATGGTTGTTTGTTTTGTTTGTCTATGTGTGGCCCTGTGATGGACTGGAGACCTGTCCAGGGTGTCCCCCACCCCTCGAACAGTGACTACTGGATATGGGCACCTTTGACCCAGTTGTGTCCACCAAAGGTTCCTATTTTATAATAATAATAATACACTATAGTTTATACTGGTTCTTAAAAAAAATAAATAAACAACAACAAAAATCTATTAAACAAACAAAAAACATGTTTTGCATGTAACACTCCCTGAAAACCCACATTGTGATTGTTGTACTGATGTGTGTTAGGCAAATGGCATGCAGTGTGTGACAAACTTTCTAGACTATGGTTCGAAATACATTTAGAAAAAAATATCCTAAATTTAGTCAGTAACAGCTTCAAAACTGTGTTGTCAAATAAAGAAGCGCAACAGCCACAAATTAACATGAACACTTATCATGATCCTAAACCCACAGTTAGATTAGAAAAAGAGCAGAAACAATCAGTTGCGTTTTCACTTTATCCTTTTTAAAAGCTATACATTTTCAACCAAATGGCAGCCTTGAACCAAATGTGTCCACACACACTGGTATTTGTACACCTGTTCAAATACATTCTCAGCTGCACATTCACCAAATTTTAAGTTACAGACAAAAATAACAAGACATACTTTTCAGACTAAGTAGTACCAGGTGTACTCCTAAATGAATGCATCACACTTTTAAAAAATGTCACCAGAGGCTATTTAGGAACATAAATAACAAAGTTAGGAGGGATATCCAAGGTAAAAAGATTTTTTATGCATTTTCCATTGTTAGTCATTTGGAGCCTGACAGATAAAAGCTGATAAAACCCCCCAGAGTGCTCTTTTTCTGACTAAAATGGCTGCAATAAATGAATGTAATGTATCACATAACATTGACACTAATCCACCTTTGTACAATGATGTAGGGCACATTTACAGCAGATATTTCAAGGGAGAAGAAGAAAAAAGGGCTCACATCTGGAAGAAATATTGAAATAGGGAATAAAGAGACACAATTTGTCTTCCCTTGTTTCTTTGTATCATAAAACACTTTTTCAAAGCAAACTTTCTCCAGACAGCAGGTTGTCTAATGTGAATTTAGATGAAAAAGAAAAGCAATTTTTGACATTTTAAATAGAAAGGATGGGTTTCAAAATCTGATTACATATACAGTATAGTGTCATATCTACTTCCTCAGGTGGTTGAGGCAAGCTGGTCTGGGAAGCTCAGTTCTCACCTCCTTGTACAGGTGTGCAGTGGAGAGCATCCTGTGTTCCAGCATCAACATGTAGCATGGAGGCTGCACAGCTGCAGAAAGAAAAGCTTTGCAGAGAGTGGTGAAGGCTGCACAGAAGACTGTCAGAGTCAGTCTCCCCACCATCACAGACGTCTACACCTCCAGATGCAGGAAGAGAGCCACCTGCATCATGAAGGACCCCACTCACCCAGCACACACACTTTTTGCCCCACTCCCCTCAGGAAGGAGGTTGCGGAGCCTTAACTCCAGGCCTCAAGGGCCGGAGTCCTGCAACTTTTAGATGTGTCTTTGATGCCACACAGCTGAATCAAATAAAGAGGTCATTAGCAGGACTTTGGAGAACTTGCCTGCACTGAGAAGCTAATTCAGTCATATGATTCAGGTGTTTTGGATGAGTGGAACATCTAAAAGTTGCAAGACACCGGCCCTCGAGGACTGGAGTTTGACACCCCTGCACTAGAGGAATAGCTTCTACCCTGAGGCTGTTAGACTCATGGATCTCTAACCAGGATAATCACTGTGAAAAATCACATCATGTTGCTGTGTTCATTCGTACTCATCTGCTCACACAGACTCATATTTGCGCTGCTCTTCGGAGTATTGTTTTTATGCTATTAGTGCTTAGTGTATTTTTAGTTAATGCTTTTCTTAGTTCATATCTTAGATCTTATTATTGTTTATCCTTTACATTTAATTGTTGGATATAACTGGTACCCTGTGTACACAATTTAGTTCCACCACATGTACCACATGGGGTGCAAATGACAAATAAAGAAATTCTGACTCGGACATATTTTAGTGAAGTAAAAATATTTTTGTATCTTTCATAAACCAGTTCATTTGTTAATGGTGTCACTTAGTTTTTTTTTGTCTGTGGACCAGAGAAGCTGATTAATAGAAGCCAACCGTAAATTGTTAGAAACAGATTTTGCAGTGCATTGTTTATTTATTTCTTTTTGTGAAATATGTTGAGATCTTGGTAACAGATATGACTCAAAATCACTGAGGGTGTCAACTACCTTATTTAAATCCCTTGAATTACTTTTCAAACCATTGGATTTGTTTATTTATTTGCTTATTATGTTCAATATCATTCAATACTGTACTGACCTACATATTTATTATTATTATCACTCTATTAACAAAAAAGTACATTTTTAGTTCTTCCAGAAGCATTAAGAAAACATGCCCATCAATGGAGTGTACATTAAATTAAAGTAGCTTAGTGATAATTACTAATACAGTTCAATCTTTCTGTCTTTTATTTATTTTTTGCAGACGAGGCGTTCTGCATCTCCATGAAAGTAGGGGAATCCAGGACCTGGGCTTGCCCCGCTGGGAGTTAACTTTGTGCTTGGTCGTGGTGGTCTTCATCCTTTACTTCAGTCTGTGGAAAGGTGTCAAGTCATCAGGAAAGGTACAAAACAAACAAACACATAATAATAAATAAATAAAAAAAAACAGCTGTTACTTTCTTGAGACTTAAATATTTTTATATGATGTTTACAACTGGTACATTATAATGTAAAGTCGCTATGTGAAAATAACTTAAAAGGTAACACAAACATGATTTTAGGCAAAATGTCAGTATTATTACACTTATTCTGTATTAGTGACATATCAGGCTGTTTATGTAACTGTTAATGTTCAAACTATAAGAAAAAAAAATGCTGAGGGTGGACTTTTCTTAATGTGCACCTTTAACAATGTTGATGTGTTCATGCGTGCACAGCTGCTCACAGACTCATGTTCATGTTTGTGCTGATGTTCAATGTTTTATGTTATGAGTGCTTAGTGTATATTTATTTGATGTTTTTCTTAGTTCATATCTTAGATGTTATTACTGTTTTTCTTATACATTTTATTGTTGGATGTAACTGGGACCTTGTGTACATAATTTCGCTCCACCACATGTACCACGTGAGGTGCGAATGACAATAAAGAAACTCTGACTCTGAACAACAGCTTGTTTCTATTTAATCATATTTTTTTCAGTAAAATAAAGGTAAGTGTAATGCATTTAATCCTATTTCTTCTGTGTTTTCTCAGGTTGTGTACATCACAGCTACTATGCCCTATATTGTCCTGTTTGTGTTGCTCATCAGAGGCATAACTCTACCAGGATCTATGAATGGCATCAGGGCCTACCTCAACATTGACTTCAACAGACTCAACAATCTGGAGGTTAGACACTGTTTTTGAGCTACAGACCCAAGTATTTTATTTTATTTTATTTTTTAACATATGTGACTAGGGCAGCACAGTGGCACAACTGGTAGAGCTGCTGCCTCTCAGCGAGCAGGTCCCGGGTTCAAATCCTGGTCCAGAGGCCTTTCTGGGTGGAGTTTGCATGTTCTTTCCGTGCATGCGTGGGTTTTCTCCAGGTACTCTGGTTTCCTCCCACAGACCAAAAACATGCATGTTAGGCTGATTGGTAACTCTAAATTGTCCCTAGGTGTGAGTGAGAGTGTAAATGTTTGTTTGTCTCGTTTGTCTCTCTGTGGCCCTGTGATGGACTTGCGACCTGTCCAGGGTGTACCCCGCCCCTCGCACAGTGATTGCTGGACATGGGCAGCAGCGACCCCCGTGACCCAAATTGGAAGAAGCGGGTAAAGATAATGGATGGATGGAACATATGTGACTTTCCAGTTGGTTTGTATATCTTGAATGACGTGATTATTATGTGTCTGGAAATGTTTTTTATAGCTGAAATGCATTGGGAGGAAGAGTTTATGTTATTAAATCCCAATAGTCAAAAGCTAAATTCTATCTGTGCTGCTTTACACAAAGATCAATAAAAAAGTGTAAAATGACACTTTGTAAACACTTGCTGTGCTTATGACACTATAATACATTTACTGAACAATCCATCCATTTTTTTTACTCGCTTCTTCCTTTTCGGGTCACGGGGTGGGTGGGGGTCACTGGTGCCCATTTACAACTTGTGCGAGAGGTGGGGGACATCCTGGAAAAGTCTCAAGTCCATCACAGGGACACATAGAATCTAACGAGACAAACAGCCATTCACTCTCTCGCTCACACCTAAGGACAATTTAGAGTTACCAGTCAGCCTAACATACATGTTTTTGGCCTGTGGGAGGAAACCGGAGTACCCAGGGTAATCCTACACATGCACAAAGAGAACATTCAAACTCCACCCAGAAAGGCCCCCAGCTGGGATTTGAACCGGGGCAACCTGCTCACTGAGAGGCGACAGCACTGCCAAACGCAGCATGTTTAAAAGTTGTATTAAATTTGATGCAAAGGTGAAACATCCATCCATCCATCCATTATCTTTACCCGCTTATTCCATTTTGGGTCACGGGGGTCGCTGGTGCCCATGTCCAACAATCATTGTGCGAGGGGCGGGGTACACCCTGGACGGGTCGCAAGTCCATCACAGGGCCACATAGAGACAAACGAGACAAACAACCAATCACTCTCTCACTCACACCTAGGGACAATTTAGAGTTACCAATCAGCCTAACATGCATGTTTTTGGTCTGTGGGAGGAAACCGGAGCACCCGGAGAAAACCCACACATGCAAGGAGAGAACATGCAAACTCCACCCAGAAAGGCCCCTGGACTGGGGATTGAACCAAGGACCTGCTCGCTGAGAGGCAGCGGCTCTACCAGTTGTGCCACCGTGCTGCCAAGGTGAAACATGATTTACTTATTTTATTTTATTTCATTCACAGGTGTGGATTGATGCAGCAACTCAAATATTCTACTCTTTGGGAGCAGGATTTGGTGTGCTCATTGCATTTTCCAGCTATAACAAGTTTAACAACAATTGCTACAGGTAAGAGGGGCGGAGGTTTAAACGGATTGCAGATAATCCAAAACAAAAACCCACAGCAACGTCCTGCTGTCTCTAAGCAGCTGGCCTTTTTCATAAAGTAACTGGATAATACAGCAGAGACGATGCTAATCTGTCCAGTCTGCCTCAGTTTGTCAGTACATGAGGACAGATAAAGCACAGACCAGGAAGGGTGACCAGATAAAACCAAAAGCAACCTGTTGGCTATTTTTTTTTCCCTTAAAGAGTTGTGGATTTGAAGACTGATAGTTTTATGTAAACAGCGGAAAACAAATGTGACATAAGAAAATCCTAGTCCTAATATAATATATTAAAATGGTATTACTCAGAAAGTAATTAAAATATAACCAGAATGCTATTATCAAAGAAATGAACCCCCCACCCCCACGTGTGTGTCAAAGAAAGCAAAATGTCATCATATTACCTTTAAAGAATAACTGATGGTGTGACGGTGTGGTATTAGTTTTATGGATCCACTCCCACTTGTCTGATCTCATTTCCTTCACTCGTATCAACCCCTGAACGGGCCTCTTCTACTTTAAAGTTCCCTTTAAAATTATGCATGAATTGACAGCACATGGGATTTTCATTGTGTTCTTTGTGCAAATGACCAAATTTGAACTGGGTGAAAGGCAACAACAGAAAAGCAGAACAGAAAGAAACAAGTGCAAAAACATGCTTGTGTTTGAAAGGTATATGATAGAAATTAGATCCTGTTTAGTACAGTAAATCAGCATATTCTTCCTGCTGTCACGATCTAGGATTAGAAATAAAATAACTCAAATGCTGAACTGTGAAAAGGATGTGAACCAGTTGAGGACAAAATAGGCTTTCATAAAATAAATAAATAAATAAACAAAGACTTCTGCAAATGCAGATAATCTAAAATGAAAGAATGCAGAACAGTCAAAACAAAGTCTTTAACTTGCACTAACCAACACATGTCCTCCCATTGAACATAACAGCCACTAGACAACTGAAGAAGTCAGTCAACAGGGATCATTTAGGAGAAGGTAGTGGAGGAAGAATGTAAACAGCAATGCTAGGTCCTTTGCCAGAAGGAAAAGAGGGATGGAACAGATGACTAGTCCAGAAGCTACCAGGCACCAAGTACAGTACATCTAATGTGGCATGGTCTATTGGGAAGGTGATATAGCTGGAATGGCACCGGCTGGACACCTTTTCGAAACTTGGCTTAGATGAGGGGTATCTGCAATTGCCAGGGAATGAACAGGACACAAAGAATCATAGTTTGAGCATGAAGAGTTTAAATTCTGGCAAGGACTTAGGCTGTAGTTGCTCAGCTAGCTGGCTAGAGGTATTCATGGCTCAGCGACAGAGCAGTAAAGTGGAACCAGTTGTAGCTGAAGAGTGGAGTGGTTGTGTTAAAACAATAAAAATACCAGACTCTATAATTTACTGCCAAACAACCTAAAATTTAATAATTAAAATTGCATTGCTTAATTTAAAACTTCCCCTCCTAATAGTGATTTGTCTAAACAATTACATGTACCACAATCACCAGACAGGACAGCAGTGTTAAACAGAATACCTTTTAAATTGTTTACACATACAAGCCAAAATAAATAAATAAATAAATAAAGCAAGCAAGCAGCGGAAACATCACAAAGAAGTTTTTCATGAATAAGTTTCTGCTTCTTAAACCCATGAGGTGACTGTGGTCAGTTTGACCAATTCACAATGTATGGGGCCATAGAATAGAAGAAATCAGCTAAGTAAGAAGAAAACAAAATTTGGTCAATCAACTTTTTTTACCTAAAAGATCAACCAATGAAACACTTGAACCAAGTCACATGGTTCAGTCTTTGTTGGTTTCTTATTTAAATAGAACAAGATAATTTTTAGGTGCTGAGTTCAACAATGTCGTGGCAACAACCAAATGACCTACTGGTGGACACCAGCAGTGAAGGAGGCCATCAGGCTGAAGAAGGAGACCTTAGGGACTTGGCTGTCCTGGAAGACTCCTAAAGCAGCTCAAGGGTACAAGTTGGCCAGAACTGCAGATTCAGTGGTTGCAGATGCAAAAACTTGAGCATGGAAGGAATTTGGGGATACCATGGAGAAGGACTTTTGCTTGGCCTCAAAGAGGTTCTGGCAAACTGTCCAGCAACTCAGAAAAAGAAAGCAACACCCTTACCCAGTTTTGCTTGGTTTGGGTGGGGAATTGTTGACCCAGATTGAGGATACTGTCAAGCAATAAAAGGAACACTTTGATGATCTCCATAATCCACACACCATGTCTACAGTTCAGGAGGCAGAGTCTGTGGACTTGGGGGAAGATGAGCCCATTATCATGGGAGAAGTCACTGATGTACCAGGGGTAGATAAGATTCACCCATAGATGCTGAAGGCTCTAGATGCTGTGGGTCTGTAATGGTTCACTTCAATAGCTATGTCTACATGCGCAAAATTCTTTGACAGGATTGAAATGTTTTCAAATTAAACTCAAATGTATCATTTACTTTGTACATGGGCACAATCTGTTCATGACGAGTGTTTACATGCAGCGGGCTTTGTTCTGAACAGAAGTACTGACATGCACAGAGTGGTAAACTCTCCTTAAAAAAACACAGAAGAAGAAGTTCTACTTCCGGTTTACTTCCGGGCTGAACATAAACAAAGCTGAGCACCCAAAATGGACCTGCGATAGGTTTTAATGACGGTGGAGATATCACTGCACTCCCTGTTTGAGCTACAGGTAATACAGATCATTTTGAGCTCTTTCAAAGTTTCTAGTAGAAATGTTGTGTCGCTCACCGATCAGTTTTGCTTCCCCGACATGCTAATATTATTAGCATTAGCCAGGCGGAAATGGCAAAGTCGCACATGCGCATTTATGTCAGTTTTTCACAGTCAGAAAAAAAAAATGAACGGATCAAACGTTTACATGCACACCGTTCGGGTTGTGAATCGGCGTAAACCACCCGTTTCATTCTGATTACAAATTATTTTGGATCACGCTGAATAAACAAAAAATAACCCGAACAGGGTGTTTACATGATGCATTTTTATTCCGAACGGCCGTTTGATCCGATTACTTATGTCCATGTAAACATAGCTACTGTCACATGGAGGACTGGAACAACACATGTGGAGTGGCAGACTGGAGTGATGACTCCCATTTATAAAAAAGTGGGACCGGAGTGTGTTTGTGTTCCAATTGTCATGGAATCACACTTCTCGACCTACCCAGAAATGTTTACTCCAGGGAAGGGAAACTGCGACTGACTGGTGAATCTCAGATTCAGGTGAAGCAGTGTGGCTTTCTTTCTAGCTGTGGGATAGTGGACCAGATCGTCATCCTTGCAGAGTTGCTAAGGGAGTCAAGGGAGTTTGCCTCTCCAGTCTACATGTGTTTTGTGAACCTGGAGAAGGATTATGAATATGTTCCTTGGGACATTCTTTGGGGGCTGCTACGGGATATGGGGTGCCTGTGTTGCTTTTAAAAGCTTTCCAGCCCCTGTATAACCAAATCAGGAGCTGTGTCCCGACATACGATCCCGGAACTGATCCAAATGTATTCCCAGTGTGGGTTGGACTCTGCACGGGCTGCCCCTTGTCTTCAATCTAGTTTGTGGTATTCATGGACATGATCTTGAAATGTAGTCATGGACAGGAACATGCCTGATTTGGGAACCTTAGTATCTCTAACATTAGAGCACAAAGACTCAGTGGTTAGCACTGCTGCCTCACAGCAAGAAGGTCCTGGGTTCAATCCCTGGTTGGACCTGGGGTCTTTCTGTTAAAGTTTGCATGTTCTTCTCGTGCTTGCGTGGGTTTTCACTTGGTACTTCGGTTTCTTCCCACAGACCAAAAATGCATGTTAGGCTGCCTTCAGGCCCAGGCCTACCTTGCAATAGAGATCTGAATGAGAGATCTAAATGGGATTTGCCTGGTTAAATAAAGGTTAATAAATAAATCTCATATTTGCTTCTTGTGGATTATGTGGTTCTTGGCATCTTCAGGCCAAGACCTTCAGCATGCACTGCGGTGGTTTGTAGTCCAGTGTGAAGCAGCTGAGACGAGAGTCAGTTCCTCAAAGTCTGAAGCCATGGTTCTCTACCGGAAATGTGTGGAATACCCCCTCTGAGTTGGGAGAGAAAGTTTACCTCAGGCGGAGGAGTTCAAGGATCTGGGTGTCTTGTTCATGAGTGATGGTAGGGTGGAGCAGGAGATGGATTGACTGATTGAGGTCTCATCCTCAGTAATGAGGACATTGCTTCAGTCTGTTATGGTGAAGAGAGAACTAAGTAGAAAGGAAAGCTCTTGATTTGCTGGTCTGTCTATGTTCCAACCCCTATTTATGGTCATGTTTGGATCATGACAGAAAGAACAAGAGCCCAGATACAAGTGGTCAAAATGGGCTTCCTTCGCAAGGTGACTGAACTTAGCCTTGGAGATTGGGTGAAGAGCTCTGTCATCCAGGGTAAGCTTTGAGTAGAGCCACTGCTTCTCCACATAGAAAAAAGTCAGTTGAGGTGGTTTGGGCATCTGATTAGGATACCTCCTGGATGCCTAAGAGATAACTTAGATCTTCAATTATGAAGTTATTTTTAATGGTAAGCATTTATATGGTAACATTTCTTCTTTTTTTTTATTTCTGCTATTTGCTTTTATTCTTTCTTTGTTCAGGGATGCTCTCTTGACCAGCACTGTGAATTGCGTCACAAGTTTCTTCTCAGGGTTTGCCATCTTCTCTGTGCTTGGATATATGGCAGAAAAACATAAGGTGAAAGTAGAAGATGTAGCAACAGAAGGTAAATAATCCACATGAAAAAAAAAAAGGAAAAACAGTCTGTATGTTACCAGTCTGCATCTTTCTTTCTTTGAGTTTGTATCTTGTTTAATTTTCCAATGGTTGTTCATTCTCTCATGTTCATTTATGAAAGTTAAAATGTTTTGTTGTATATTTAGGGGCAGGTTTGGTGTTTATCATCTACCCAGAGGCAATATCAACCCTACCCGGCTCAACATTTTGGGCAATTGTGTTCTTCATCATGTTGCTGACTTTGGGCATTGACAGCTCGGTGAGTATGACCACTTAAAGGTTAATTTGCCAGATTTCACATAACAGACAAGACAAACTATAATTAAATAAGTAACAGAGTCAAAATGTAATTTTCAACAAAATCCAACATATTTATATCACACTTGATAAAGATGCTCTCCATGACCTAGACAAATGATTAAAACCATCTGGATTGTGGCAAATTTGGAAAACCTCTTTCAGTGTGAAGATTATCATGTTCTTAGTACTAACCATTTAGGTTTCCCCCTACTATTTTCCGCATCCTCTGTGCTCTCCAGCACCTTTACCATGCTTTATCACAATCTAACACGCCACATAATCATAACAATACTATGTCTGCACATGGATATTTTCATGACATTGTCAAAATCTGCAACATGTTCTTGGATAGACTGTAAAGTTTTGGGGATTATTCCATCAGTTTCAGCCTGGCTAGGAGAGGGTCATCACTTCAGTATATTTCAGTATGAGAGAATGCAGGTAATTTTTTAATTTATTTATTTTTGGTGCAGAACTACAAACACATTTTCCCTTCTTCCTTTGTCAACTAGCAGCTCTAAACATGTAGACTACTGCTTTGCATCCAAGCATTGTGGTGTGGTATTTATTAGTGCTTGCAGAGCATGGATTGGTTGTTGTAACAACATGGTGAGAATGTCTCCCAATTCTATTGGTTGCACCAATCTCAGTCGTGGGACACAATACACATAGCAGCTGTGCCAGCAAGAATGTTGCAATAACATACTTAGAACACTGCCAGCATGGTGTTGATGTGATGGGGTTGTATAGCAAGGACATGAGGTCATTCCTGCTTCAATTTATTGACAGCTAATCCACATCAGATGCATATGAGCCTCACAAAATGAAACCACCTAGGAAGTCAATATGCATCTTCCACAGATACCATCACAACTTTGCAATGGAAAACTTGAGCATGCTCAAAACTCTTCACAAATTATCATGCTGTCAAAACATGGAGCCCACAGTATTTTTAATACTTCCCTTAAAACCTCATCAAGGCCCTAAAAACACTATCCACATTCTAACTAACAAAAAAACTTTACAATGACATACAATGACCTTCTCTTCAACTTGCGAAATCCTTTGAACAAACAAACAAACAAACAAAAACGATTTACAATTTCACAATAATTAAACCTCCAGTATGAGACTTCTGTTATTATATTTTGACTTACATAAATATGAGAGAGCTATAACATCAGATACAATAATGCTGACTTTGATTGAAACTCTTTCCTTTCAAAATTGCATCTATATCATTCTGATTGGTCAAAAATAAATAAATTAATATTTAAAAAATAATGAATATAAAACAAGCCGTGGACATACTGTAGATGTATGCCTTCATCAATCATTCATAACAACTTTGAGGGCTACCACTCCATGTTTCTTCTTTTAAATCAAATGCATTTTAGTAATTTTTGGAACATTAATGCTGTCAAGTTCACCTAAGTCCATATTTTAAGCATTAATGCATTTATATGTATGTATATATGTATACATA